GGGTGGGAAGGGGAGCTCTGTGCAGGTTGCCTGGCCCCAGCCCTGGCGGGGGACGGGGCTGCATTGTTCAGTGCTGGGGGGGGGGGGGAGTCTTTCCCCTCCTCCTCTTCCTCCTACCCCCACCCCCCTGCTGTGAGGGGTAGGGGAGGCTCTGTGCAGGCTGCTCAGCCCCAGGAGGGGACACTTCCCCTTCCCAGAGGGAGGGGGGCTCTGTTCAGTGCTGGGGGGGGGAGGGGGGTACTTATCCTTCTCCTCCTCCTGGCCCCTGTCACCACAGGGCAGGGAGGGGAGGCTCTTGTGGTGCTCCGTGGCCCAGCCAGAGCACAGGAAGCAGCTTTAACAGAGCCGCAGCTGCGGGGGGTGGCTCTGGCCCCATGGCCCAGCCTGGCCTCGCTCAGCCATGGCTAAGGCAGCTGCTTGGTGGGGTTGGGCCACCCCCAGCGGGTGCAGCTCGGTGATGGGGAGACGAGCACAGCTGGGCAGTTGCTTCCCCTGTCAATGAGCGCAGACTGGCATACGCGACCAGCAGTTGGCCAGGCAGGGGCTTATCCGGGCTGTAACAGCTGCAGCCACAGGGTGTGAAGAGCGGGGGAAGATTCTTCCTCTGGGGCTGGGCAGCCTCGCACAGAGCCCCCCACCCTGGGGGGATGGGGAGAAGGAGTAGTCCCCCTCCAGTGCCCCACAGAGCCCCCCTTCCCTACCCTGGGGGAAAGAGAAGGAGGGGGAAGAGTCCCCCCCAGCACAGAACCAAGCCCCACTCCCTGTCCCGCAGGACAACCGTCCTGGCATGGCACTGGAAAGGTGAAGCGGGTAGGGAGAAGGGTTAATTTCTCCCTCTGTCCCTTCCAGGTCTGGCAGCCCCAGGGGCCACCGCTGCAGCCTCGAGCTGACAAGCGGACCCTGGCTGTGGTGGGGGAGGAGGGGAAGGAGGGAAGAATTAATCCTCTCCCTGCCCACTTTGCTTTAATGGGGCCATGCTGCCCCATGTTTTGCCATGTCCTGTCCCTGCTCTGGCTAGAGAGCAGAGGGGAGGGTCCAGCTCAGCTCTGGGGCAGAGCAGAGCCCAGCCCAGAGAGCATGCCGGGATGCTGGGGGAGTCTGATTTATCTTAAACCAGCAAGGGGTCTGGGACACGCATTGCATAAACCAGCTTCAGCCAAATCAGTTTGACTGAAGGTCCCAGTCTGTCTTCAAGGCAATTAATTGCAAGCAGCAAATGCCTTGTGTCAGGGCTTTATCTGGAATAGCCATTCCAGCTGCTCTGTTGGGGACAAAGCAGCCAAGGTCTTGCCCACTATAGAGGGGAGAAGATGTAATAGCTCAGTAGAGGCTGCTTTCTTTCCTCCCTTGTTATACCTGTTTGAAACCCTTGGTTAAAGGGAGAAAGGGGTCACTCCCTACCTCATATCCCCATGCAGGCCTCTGTACAATGGGCCAGGATTTGATCTAAATGATATTCCATTGCAGAGATGTAATTGAAATAACATTAAGAAAAATGAAACCTCGAGTTAAGATGCAACTAAGATCTTAATCTTATCCTACCACATCAGAACACCAGTGCTGCAGGGCATACCATAATACCTGTATATCTTTCTGAAGCCTCTCTAAATATTAAGAGTTGAGGACGCAAGAGAAATGATGGTTCTGAAATTCTGAGCTTCATGGTTTTGCCCTGTATTGAAAACCTTAGACACATTGGCAAAATCATGTTCCAGGGCTGAAAAAACTAAAATATTGGTTTAAAAGACAGTGACTCTCTTGACCCAGTTACTCAGATGTGCAAGTTTCTTCATGCCTGCTGGTTGACCAGGAAGTAAAACACTTTTGTAGGTCTTAATTCAGCTTAATTTTTAGTATATATGCAGATTACATGTTTGGTTACCTGTTGAAACAAAAAATAATTGCCTTGTTTTCTTTCCAAGAAGTGCTATCCTTTCTGTTAGTGGTTGGGAAGGGTGGGGGACGGTAGTATTCTCCTGACTTAAATAAATGGTGTGAAACTTGCAAGGACAGTTCAAAACATGTTGTGCACAGGGGAAAAATGTATTGCCTACAGAAGTAGTCAACTATACGCCCCTCCGGTCCCATTTTCTGCCTGCCTAGCTAAATAGGTGCCAGCATGGTTGTGAAAGACAGATACTGAAATGAGTGCCTCGTGGAAAGGTTGCTTTTAGTGCGTTAAGGCTCTTGTAATCATGACAGAAATGATAAGAATCTAGAAAAAATCAGCAGTGCCAGTAGGGAAATTCTTCAGACATGAATTTCATGCTTTTCAGTCGCTGCTGATTAGAGCATAAAACTGGATGAGTGCTGGGGAAATGTCTGTCCAGAGATGAGATTATATAAGATTCCTTTTCTCAGTATCCTTTGTTTTACGTCTTTGAAATCTGAACTTAAGCAGATATTTAGAATTCTTTATCTCTGCTTAAAACAAACTTGACTAGAAAATGGTTGGTTTAAAGAATTTAGGAGTTGTTTTGAGCTTCTTTTCTGTGAAAGCCTTTTATAAGTTCAGCGGAAAGAGCATGGCTAAGTATGTAGGAATGTTGTAACTGTAAAGGGATTTACCCAGCCATTATGTCAAACCTCTTCAAAGATAACTGTGCATGGGAAAGTTAAATTAGATTATGTTCTTGATCACTTTGTTATCCCACTTTCCTTTTGCACTTTGATCATTCCTTGCTTGGTCATGTTGCAGAGATGGGGCATTGGCGGTGCCTTCACCCCCCTGGTTTACCTCTGGCAGATTAGGATGGTCTTGATGTCTTTGAACTATGTGCCTTGTTGTGCAACAAAGTTTTTTCTATAGTTTTAGGAATAAGTTAGATGTGTACTTTTTGGGAACATTTTGGATAGGGATGGTCCTGTCTTGAGCAGGGGGTTGGACTGGATGATCTCCTAAGGTTCCTTCCAGCTCTGTTTCTTTGTATTGTGTAACACTAAGCACACTGCCATTTCTTAACCAGTACTTGATTTTAGGATGTGAAGCCCTTTGGGGAAAAGATTTTTTGCTTTTAAAACTGTATAACAGCCAGCATAATGAAACCATGATCTCAATTGGGATCTTTAGGCCAAATAAGACTAATAATTTACTGTTGCTACTTTTGAATTTTTTAATTGGATTCTATGGGTACGTTCCGACAAGTGTGCATGTGCAGGGGTGCACATTTTCTGCGGGACAAATAGCAGCTGCACGTATTTGTGCCACTGCTTTGTTGCTGGGCATGTCCCTCTACACATGCTGTGGTGTGGCAAAGTGACCCAGGTGGGGTAGGGGAGGCTGCAGCACCTGTGTTGGCCTCAGCAGCCTTACTTGGGGTCCTGGGGGCCTCCCAGAACAGCAGTGGTGCAAAGCCAGCTGCTCGGAATTTTGTCAGCAGCCAGAGCATGGCTCTGGCTGGCCAGGCTTCCTTTCTGGCAGCTCACGCTGCTGACACATGTGCCACACTGCTTTTTTTTAGTGGTGGGTACTTTTTTGGCACCACAATCTCCCGGGCAGCAAATTGGTGCATGTACGCTGCATGTGGTTTGCAGCGCCCCAAACCTCATGTGCACACTCATCAGGATGTGACCTGTGGGTGCAGACAGATGTAACACTTGAACTGTTCCAAGAATGTCACGGATTCTATTAACAATTGTCTGGGGTCAGACGTGCCGGCACATACCCTGATAAGGATTTGAAGTAGAAGTCCCCTTTTAGGCACTGTAGTGCTATCAAACCACCACCAGGGGTGTAGTGAGTACCCAGCCCCATTGTAGTTTTCTGTCCCCTCTTCTTACTAGCACTGAGGTTGCTAAAGACCCATTCCTGCACTATACTGAAGTATAATCAAGTGGTACTTGATTATGAGTGCTTGGGTGTGTGTATAGGCCTAGAAGCTGCCTGGATCTCTGCTTCAGGCTTCCCAGGGGCTGGGTTCTCTGGAGCTGCTAGAGCTTTCTCCATATTTAAAGAGCATTTTTCCCCAAGCCAATCACCAGTTTACTCCAGTTCCTGGGAATTGACCATGATTTGGTGCATCCTAGGCTGATCTGGGGACAGAAGGGTAGCCAGGGAGGGGGGTCACTGCTTAGACCTCTGTTTCTGTGCTCCTAGGAGCTCGGGGGGCTGCTCAAGGGTTCCACACTGCTGCCAGTGGACGGAGATTGACCAGCTCTTTAAAAGGAACGGATAGCTGAGTCCTTAGCCCCAAGGCCCAAAAAGCAGGGGTCCAGGCAGTTCCCCCCTGACTACCCCTCCTGGGAGGCATGGAGCCCTGGTCAGTTGCCAGCAACAAAGGGAAATTGACCAGCTCTTTAGAAGTGGAGAGCTGTGCCCAGCCAGGGAGGTTGTGGTCAAGTATAGGCACTAGAGGTTAAGGCAGTAAAGTTGTGTCTGGGTACCAGAGTGGCCAATTACCAGGCAGGGCTGGAGGTAGGGAAATGAGGAGCGGTGCCGTGTGGAATGCCTGAAGGACCAGCCAGACACTAGTCACAGAGTGTGGTGTCTGTACGTAACACTCAACTCATTCATAGAGAAGTGATTCAAAATAATACCTGATTTTTCAGCTATACTTTTGAAATAGCTCAGGAGGTTCAAACTGTTCTAAACTCGCTCATATATTTGGACAATTCTAGTTTAAACCACATTTAAACTAGTCTAAATATTATGTATGTCTGCACCCCATGTGTCTGTCCACATCCTACCAAATCAGAAATGTGGAAAATCACTGAAGGGAGAATACTTTGTTCTTTCTGGGTACTGTTAAAACCATCATTACCTATGTTTAGAGGGTCTCTTACACCAGTACCTGATGCACTGTGATGTACCCTCATGAACCTTTTTCAGTTAGCTGTGTTAATCTGAAGGTGGGCAGAAAGCAAAGCAGGGTTGAACTTTAGATACTAACTTGTCCATTTATAGCATCTAATGAAGTTGGTTGTAGTCTGCAAAAGTTTATGCCTCTCAGCAAGTTAGTCTATAAGGTGCCACCCTGCTTCACCTTCTTCTTTATTCACAGGGATAGAGACATCTTGCATCTTGAAGCATGGATTAGTGATAAAGGAGGCTGCAGACTTGGGAAGGAAAGCAAGTCTGTTGGAATAGTTTTCTCCTGTTTTGTGTCAACTTTTGGTCGAGTCTTTAGGAAATAGAGCCTATGAGAAAAGCTGTCATGATCTGCATATGTCAGCAAAAGCCCAAGATGGAGACAACCTCTAGAATACATGTAAGATGAGCATTATCTATTATTTATATTTGAATACAGAACAGAGCACACCTAGTCTACCCAACAATGGTATGTGGTGAGTGTCAAGAATATGAAGAAACACCATTCAGTAACTCTTGGAGAGAACGGTGTCTCTTATTAAGTGTATGAGAGAGAGAAAATCTAGTTAACTTAAAAAATCTTTCAGATGCAGATGATTTTGATTTGCTTTAAGGCCCCCTTTATATTGCTGTGACTGAGAGTCTTTAAGACTAAATTTATGTCCATTTTTAAAGTGTTTAATGTGGTAGAATAAGAAGTTGATCTTTGTTAACTTTTTCTAAGTTTCTAGGCACATTACTCTTTCTCTTAACAGTAATTTGTGTTCATTTTCAATTAATAAGGTACAGGCAGATATAGTGATTACAGCTGTCACTACAAGTGCCCAGACAACTGTGATGCTGTCATCCTCAAGACTTTTGCTTTCTGTGAGAAACTTTGTTTTCCTTTTCATTCTGCAGAGATAACCCACTTTCTGCCAAACAGAGAGCTATCAGTTTCATTATATTTAACTAAAGGCACTTGTGTTCTGCTTTTGGTTCTGTTGATATCAATCTGAGGCACTAAAAGTTCCGGGTTCAGGGGCACTAGTATCTTCAGTAGGAAGGGAGGGAAAGTCTCATATCTACTGAAAATAGATTACTTTGACCATTAAATAAATCTCCTTCTATTCTGAAGTGAATTAAGGTTAGAAATAGGAATTTTAAACCTAGATCCCTAGTTTTATTTATTTTTTAAAGACTGAAGCAAGATGAGTTAGGGTACCTTTTGCTCTTTTTATCTATTTTTTTTTTTTTTCCTCCCTCCCTCCCCTTTCCTTAGATGGAGTTAATGACTCTAACACAGTGTTTCCCAAACAGTGTGCTGAGGTGCAATGGTATGCCATCAGAAATGAACAGGTGCACTGTGAAATTTTACCATGGCAATGAGCTGCAATAGGTATGAGGATGGGGAATGCCTTAACAGCTGTGCTGTGGAAAATTTTTATTAATGTAAGTGTGTCTTGGGCTAGAAAAGCTTGGGAAACACTGCTCTAACATCTATGGTAGCAGTATATTATATTTTAGAGAACTGGACTTAAAAACATCAACCCAGCAGTTCCAGTTCTGGCCCCATTTCTTGCCACTTTAGAAGTTGCCACAATTCTGATGGATTCCATAAGGCGGAATACCCTTAGGCAGAAACTGGTTGTGTGTGACTGCTCTGGAGAGGAATATTTTTCAAAGCAATGAGATGGGTTACTGAGAGCAGTTTTAGTTTGAGTTGAGACTACTTCAGGTAGGAAGCTTCTGGCCCTGTGAATAGAAGGTAAAACTAACACACAGACACATCAAGGATTAGGATTCTGAAAATTCTAGGGATTTCAGTATTTCTCAGATTTCCAAATTAATTATGAAAGATTCATATACCTACATTTTTCCTTTTCTGCCAGGTGACTTTTGTTGTGGCTTTTTTCATGATCTGTTTCTTTAAGTGAAAATCAATTTTAGTGTCTAAGAAAGAAATACTAGAAATTATGGTGCTTATGAGACCTGTGTTTGTTTTAGGCCCTTGAACCTTGGTAAAAACCCAAGACGTGCCATTCATAGTGAGGCAGAAGGCTGCATGCTTGATGTTTGCAATCCATTCCTGTACTCGAGAGTGGCTACAAAAACACACTGCAGAAATTTTGTCAGAGACACAAATAGTAATTTTTGAAATGACAAACAGATTGAATGTTAAGTGATATCCAACTCCAAATCAATTTAGAGTTTATCAGATGGTGGAGCATTAAATTAAATTGTATACTCAGCTAGTGTAGATTAAATCCAATAACAAAAGTTTTTTAAAGGCGCAGTACCCATTTAAATAGCAAGCTGTTTCACACAAATCTCTGGCTTCTGCATGCTGATGAGACTCTTGCGAAATACCAGAACAGGAGATATCAAGAATCTGTGGGATGGGATTCAAATTGTATACCCACAAGCTCAGTATAGTCTAATGATATATAGCTTCAAGTATTTCCCCTGTAAATCTGTCACTTAAATTTGATACTGCTGCTGTTGCTGTTAATCAGATCTTAGGGCACCTGTACGTGTGCAGAGAGGGTGCTCCGACATGCTGTAATTTCATTGCATTGGCACATGGTAATTACCGCCGTCCAGCAGACCCCAGTGTTGTGTGTATCAGCGTCCCTGTGCTGAAAAATGGTGGCAGGGGTGCTTTAACTAAAGCTCACTTGACAAGCTTTAGTTAAAGCACCCCCACCACCATTTTCAGCGTGGGGATGCTGATGCACATGATGCTCCAGGCATTTAGAGCAGCTCTTGGAGCCACCCTAATTAATGTGCCCGCCCGCCCCTGCGCTTGGAGCACGTCTGTAACTGCACTTAGTTTCTGTAGTAACATTTGGGCTGTTTCTTGTGTGGATGAAGTACATTCTAGAAGTAGTCTGAGGTGAGGCTGGCACCATGTATACGTAAGTGCCAGTGCACTGTCTCAATCTGCAGTACTAGTCTGGTTCAGGATTTCTGTTCAGTATAAACTGACATTTGTGCCAGGAAGGACTCAATGCAAACACAAACAGCAGGTTTCAAGAGTATGATATAAAGTATTACACAAACAGAATAGACCAGTGTTGAAGGATAAAGAATTTTTGAAGGAGGAAGGGAAGAAAGCAAATAGTCTCTCTTGAGCAATAGTCTGACATTTGGTTGCAAAAAAAATCTCATTTCTTTTGCAAATCTGTTGAAATCTAAAGTTTATACAGTGGTGCATATGAAGAGTAGCAGAAGAGGACTGGGTTTCTTGATTGCCATTTATTGGGCACTGCCAACTTTCTCTGTGCTTGCAGAAAGAGGAAGAAATGCTCTGTGCCTGGGGAAGCTAAGCCAGGCAGATGATTCATTTCCTGCCTGATGTAGGTCCAGTCTTGTGGTGGTGCAGTCACTGTTTCATATGCTGGGTATTTGGAATCACACTAATTAGTCATTCTCTTATTCAGTCCTCAAGTACAAACTATATTAGCAGACAGTGTAACCCTTTGTAGTTTTTTTAGAATGAAACTCATTCCTAGTTTTGAATTGCTCCTCACTCCCTTTGGAAATCCATTCTTCAACATTTTTATACCTATTTTCTCCTTGTCCATTTGGCGCTCATTGTGTGGATTGGTAGCTTTTTTTTAATTACCATGGACCATATTTTATAATGTAGGATTGTTTTTTTCTTTTTAAGTTTTTGGGGGGTTTTTTGTTTGTGGTTTTGTTTTTTTAAGTGAAACAGTTTATCAAATAATCTTTAAAAGCAGGAGAGTTATAGAGTTGCAGAGAGAGCCAGATTATTTTTTGATCCAATACAGGGAAAAAAAATGAATTGTAAATAAATATGAAGAATGATGAACCAAATTGCTGGTTCCAGTTTCTATGACTTAGTCACATTTTAAACTGATTTTACTTATAAGCAGAACAGCTTAATTTCTAACCCAATAAGAAATGTCTCTCTTTGTTCGCTTAGCATTTACTTGATTACTGGTATTTTGAAGCCTGTCAATGAATTCTTAAGCTGTTAATCACATTTCTCAGGGGAATGTGCTAATACAGACTTCTCAAAAACTAATTAAGGGGCATTTAATTGGGCAGGTAACACAATTTATGCAAAACTGGTTACATTTGCTGATTTAACTAAATAGTATTTTAGTACTATTATCTTTTCATCGGTACATACGTAATTGCAGTGGGTTCTTGTTCTACTCTGATTGTTCAAATACAAGTAGTTTTAGTCTTTAAAGTGACTCCTAAGTGAAAGTGAGGCTTAAACAGAAGCACACATGCATTATATTCAGATTATTTTGGAGCTTTTTTTCATAAATTGAAATATTTTCAATTTTGGATCTTCATGTCACTTTGACACTAAGAGGCAAGTCAGTGCACTTGTACTGCCAAGATTTATAAATGTTCTATTCCATTAAACTGCAGACAACAGCTAAGTGGATTTTGTTTGGACACAACTATAGATAACTGCATAATGAAGTCATACCACAGTCTGCAAAGCAGTTTTTTATTTATCTTTTTTAGTAGAAGAAACAAATTGGACTATACAAATTTAGGGAGTTTTTAAAAGATTGACCATTATCCTGGCTAATGCATTAAATGACTTCACAGGACATTAGAGGTTATTTAGTTAATATATTAACACTAATTTAGGATGTGGCAAAAAAATGGGTCAAGCATTATATGCTTTGACAAGCAGAGAATAATTGCAAATGTTTCCTTATTTTGTTGTTGCATCCTAAAAGTTTGGGCAGAAATGAGAGCAAAATTTGAAGCTTTTAATCAAGGTAACCATAACTTTTTACTGAGAACAGAGAATCCACACAGAAAATGGTTTTCTGCTGAGGGATAATGATCTTAAGAGACTAAAATATAGTTATACCATCTCCACTCCTGTACATTGATTGAGCAAGTGATTGGGACTGGGAAGTGCGAGTAGGAGGAGACAATTCACCAAAATGCACTGTTTCACCTTACATAGCTAACTGTGTACTCTAGCTCATTTATTTAGGTACGTTGTAATAAAGATGAGTGAATTAGTGGGTTGTAATTAAAGTATCTTTAAAATGAGCTCAGGTTGCTGGTTATCAATCCTCATTATGTCTCAAAGAACCAGGACTTTCCAGTTTAAATCATGTACTGTTGTGCCAAAAAAGCAGTGGTTTGACTGAGGGTGTGGCACCATTTGTTTGGTGCCTTGTGAACTGTAAGGGCTTGGAACAGGGGTGGGCAATTATTTCTGGTGGAAGGCTGCTTACTGAGTTTTGGCAAGCCATTGAGGGCCGCATGACAGATAGCCAGGGGCAGATAAATATTAATTTTCTAAATTTTTAGGGGCCCCGAGGGCTGGATAGAATGTTCTGGCGGGCCACGTCCGGCCCACGGGCCGCATTTTGCCCACCCCTGGCTTAGAAACAAACGTTCCCCAGGAAA